AAGTCTTATATTGGCTACTTAGCTTACTTCGTCTTCTTCATAAGCCAGCATTGGTATCTGTTGATCACTGAGTTGATTCTCGCTACATGTAGGTAGCCAATATAAGGCTTAGTCATCTTGCCAAATAGTGAGCCTGTGTTGATGTATGAAAACTATGTTAGAACTTGTTTATAAATGGTACTTAATGATTAATAAAGCGTTTACACTAATTCATAACCTAATTATAAACCCTTTATGAATCCTTTATAAGGGTAGTCTTATTGTAAAATGGTACCCAACTCTTTGATTGAAACTGTCTAAAAACAATATTTTGTGGTTTCATTGGAAATGTGTGCACAACTACTTATTGCCTAGATGCAATGCTTTTTCTGGAGATCTTGTCACTACCATTGGCCAACAAATATTCCCCCACATAACCCAATGTTACTTGGTAAGTTGATTACCTTCGGACAGAGCAAGGAAAAACTTAAAATTATCCTGTGTCGGTCTTAATGTATGTTAAAAATGCATTTAACAGACACAAATTCAATCCGACACCCTTCTTTATCGGAAATCCAATGAGCTTTTCATTAGTTTCTTATTGTTTATTTAGACGATGCAAAAGAAGAGTGTGAGGTACGAAATGGAGAGAAAGCTGTGGTGGGATTCGATCCTTTCGGGGTTCACAGAAGCAGGGAAATGTGTCTGGGTGGGGATAATGATTGTAATTTATATTATAGAGTATATGAAGCAATAACAGGAAGAACTGACTTCAGCTGACTACGCCATTACATACGCTTCTGACTGTGGTCTCTCATCACTCACTCTCAGAAAGTAATGGCGGTCAACTTTAAAGGCTAACTCAGCATGATATGACCGCCACATTAAACAGACCCTGGAACAGCTTGGTGGAGTGTATTGCCTTACACTAAAAAAATCCCTTTGACCTTGACATGATCTGGGATTGGCCGATAGGCAGTGGATGGTATAGTGTGTCCAACATTTTACCGCTTCTGCGAATGTTGGAAAACATTTATTTCCTTTTATGGACTAGCATTTAGGCGAAATGATACTGTTCTACTGACATAAGTAGTAAAGCCCTGTTTTTATGGTTCTCTCTTCTATTTCTCAGACTTATGCAGCGTCCTGCCAACCACACAGACAGAAACAAACGCACACACACTGAGTGAAACCACACACAATTATTATCACAGCTTTCCAGAGGCAGGAAAGCAGCTGCTGTTTCACTTGATCTTTTATAATGGGAACAGCAGCAAGAGGCAGTAATGACATCTCTGCTCACACTATTCCAACACTTCCTATAGCATGACCCCAGAGTCGCTGAGAAAACTCCAACTCTGGCTGTTGGTGGAAAAAATGTCCAAAGATTAAATTATACACCGCCAATAACAGACGCAGCAGGGAATTATATTGAGGTCTGATTGACGTTTACTACTTGTGACAATTTTGCCAGCTGTAGATTTTGTATAACAGAGGATCCAGAACACCGGAACATGAACAAGGCTGATTTGCTACCAGGCAACTTCATCACAGGGAATCGGACTCTGTGGGAAAATGACAGGCTCCACCATTTACTATGTGTCATATTTTCATCAACAAAAACTACAGTGAAGTGTATGTGTGGACTGTCAATCGAGACTACCACTGCATGAGTCCTTGAAAATGATGAGAAAATGTGTTGCGATAGTACAAAAGATGGAGATCACAAATTATTTTCTGATTCTCTTAACTTGTTGGATGTAAGTACAATTTTGCAATTTAGTAATGTTATATCTGCAAGTAATTTTTGCTTATGTTACATCAAATTAACTGCCTCAGTAGTAGCTGAAATATTTCCCCATATCCATATGGTAGTGTTATGTCACAGCTGTGACCAGTTTTGTATACTTCCACATATGGATGGAGTACAACCTTACATTTTGTTTAACTAACCTTCAAAATCCAGTGAGAAACAATAAGACAATCCACAAAAAGGGTGTTTTTAATCCTTTATTTCCCATCTGCTTTTAAGTTCAAACAAAAGTCCTGTCGTCCATTCTGACAGTAAACCTAATTCAGCTTTCAATAAAGGTATTTTCCACATGGTGACCCACCACCTTGGCGCAAATCCCCAGTAACTGAACGCTGGCTTTCAGTTGAACAGTATGACCACTGATCCAGACAGAGTGTTTGTGCTGCATAACTCTTTGTATTATTGAGCATAAGAATATATTGAGAATTTCCTTTCGGGCTCCAAATGACCTGAGCAAATGTCAGAAATTGAACAATATCTGCTATATGGGTTAGTTGTGAATTGTGAACAGAGCCTTATGGGTGTCTTGTTTTGCTGCAATTTCCTCTAATTTGAGAGTACACCACTTTAAATTGAGTTACTTAAAATTCGTCTGATTAGGTTGCAACAATGCAAGATAACACAGCAGAATTAAATGTCCCAATGTGGTTTCATGTAGCATCGAGGATTCAGGACGACATCACCAACATTTCCAATTAATGAGTTATCATTCAGTCCATGTGATTTCCATAAGCAAAGCAATTATTTCACACAGTGACGTCACGAGCTACCCACAATGCAACGCGCGCCATATATATATTAGGGCCGGGACTTTAACGCGTTAATTAAGATTAATTAATTACACAAAAATTAACGCGTTAAAAAAATTAACGCATTTTAATCGCACTTATTTTTGCACCGCGGAACGTTTCTCACTGGATGAGTTTCAGGCGTACCGATTATACTGGAGCACCAACTAACGTTCATGACTTCAGACAACAACAAACCACAGTGAACAACAGTGGGAAATGTTTAAAAAAACGGACGGATGGAAGCGTCGATAAGAGCACGGTTGTGTGCAAATTATGCAAAAACGAATTCGCATATCACCGCAGCACATCAAGCCTCAAGTATCACCTCAATGCAAAACATAGAGTAGCTAGCGTGGAAGCTAGCGTGGACGTTAGCCTCTTTTATCACGTTCACACCAAAAAGAGCCGGTACTCAAATGAGTTCATGAGAACCTTTTTACCCCCACGAAAGTCCCTGCTAGAGAGCTGCTAGAGAGCAGGGACTTTCGTGCGGCTCTCTTGTGAGAAAAGAGCTATATGTCTGATTGGCTGGGCCAGGGTCGGCTCTAGAACAAATCGAATGGGGGGGCAATCATTTACAAAGGGGGGGGCACACACTGCCGTCAACAACCAACACACAAACACCAACGCAACTTCAAAAAACATGCTGTAAAGTCTATTGTCTTTCACACACATTGCAGGGTGTAGTGCTATTGAATAGCGCACCTATGACCTGTGCATACATGCACGGTTGTGGCACGACCACCAAAACAGAAACATATAAGGACATAGGCCACCATATAAAAAGGGTGCAAATGTATTTAGTATCCTATCCATGTGAACATGTTTTAGGTGGGTGTGGACCTAACCTTCTCTAGGAGGGTCCGGGGGCATGCTCCCCCGGGAAGATTATTTTAAAAATATTGAAGTTCAATGCATCAATCTGGTGCACTTTGAGAGCAACATGAAGAGATCTATGGATAGCCTACATCTCTCAGCATCCATATGAAACAGAACTGTACACAGATTTACTTTTTCTTTATGGATATTTTACTAACCACTCCCCTTTTCAACTGTATTCTTGTGTTACTGTCCTATAGTATTTCATTCCCGTTTTTTATTTATTCTCTTATTCTTTAATAACTATAATGATCGTATAAAGGTATTCCTCGCAAATACTTGTTTACATAAATGGTGACCAAACCGTTTGAGACCCACTGAGATAACTTACACCAAAGTGAACTATCTAAACACTGAGAGGGTCCTTACCTCACTGAGCTGACGTTATAAGATCCTCTCAGTCTGACAGGAGAGGACTGTCCTCCACCTTGGTTTAGAAACAGCTCTTTATATCCGTTAGCATAGCTAGCTAACCAGATGCTAACATCAACATTCCACGTTACCGCTCGCGCACTCACAAAATGCGCTCGTGCCACACACACACAGAGCCGAGCCTGAATGAAACACAGAGACCCAGAAGTAGGCTACTTGTACTGTACTGTATATCATATTATTTTCGATGGCTTTACTGTATAATCAGTGTAACAGATGAACAGATCGCCACCGGGCTTTCATCTAAACACACAGCCACGTAATGATAACAAAACAAAGGTCGGGGGTCATTGGTCAAGCAACACACCAATCAGAGAGCAGCAGTGAGCACAGCTCAGGCCGTGTTTTATATTTGTATTCTTTATTTCTGACGTATTTCACACAAAAAACCTTTAGTGGAAACGTTTTCACTTATAGGCCTATGATTTTTTTTTTTAAACGGCAAAGTGGCTAGGCTTGCCCACCCTGCGTTGGGGGGGCACAGTGACTCATTTGGGGGGGCATGGCCCGCGAATGACCCCCCATGACGCCGACCCTGGGCTGGGCGGATTGCAAACCACGCCCCGTAAAACTCCCAAAAAGTTTTGTGAAGCCGCCATTTTATTATCCTCGCATTAGCATTATTAGCCCAGCGCAGAAACGCAGAGAGACTAACTTATGGCAACACACAATAAAACATGGGAGCGGTGGAGATGAGGAGGTGTCGTCGTTCTGGCGATTTACTCGGAAGGCTTGAAGCTGCTGGGACTCCCAGCAGCTTCTACTGAAGCCAGTCCCCAACTCCGGGGACTTCCGGCCGGGGACTTTGGGCGGCAGTATACGCCGTGAAGTTGTTTGCGGCCTGCCAGTAAACCCAAAGCAGAAGAAGAAGCAGAAGAAGAAGAAGCAGAAGAAGAAGAAGTGACGTCAGCGGCTTCATTTGACTAATCCTCCCTCAGGGACTTATTCTGGTGTGAATGCGATCTGCTCTTTAGTTAATCAGAACTAAAGAGTTTTGATGAACTAAGAACGGCAAAGTACTTGGTGTGAAAGCGCCTAATGGTATCTCTAAAAGTCGTAACATTTACAACAGCATATCCGTGATTGGGACTGTAGAGCCCTGTTAGAGTTTATTGAAGGATAAACGTGTTTTCATAATATGTTGTCATTTTATGTTGTAAAGAGACCATAGTCAGAAAAGAGGAACAGAGAATAGTCTGTTCCCCTTTTCTGTGGACCATACACACACACACACACATGATTGCGAGTCACAAGACTCCCATTGACAAATAAAGCCGTTGGTTACATACACTTCCTCATGCATGATTTGTAACTGTATTTTTGTAATAAAGAGACTGCACTGAGAGAAGAGGAGCAGAGTTGGTTTTGGAGTTGACATAACCTGTCACTCGCTGATTCTCCTTGCAGCAAGTAAACTTGAAACTCGAGTACTGTTATCTTTGTTCATTGGGTTTTGGTATATTTGAACCGAGCTGGGGTTTACTCTTACAAAGTAATATAGAAATACCCAACATTAATTGGTCCTTCGGAGCCGGAATCCAACACATCGTGACGGGAAGGAGGAGGGAAAAGACACGCCGCAAGTCTGTCGACAGCCGGGATCATCAGCCGACCCCGAGAAAGACCCGGGACGCAGAATTCGTGGCCGGGCCGGTGCTTATATGTCCAACCTCCCTCATCCTCGGCACGATTGACGGAATCCAACCGGACCAGTGACCACAGATAACGGGTAAGATAAAAGTTGATATACATGGTTTCTCCACCATTTAAGGAGGTAGAGAAAGGCTTCTCCGCCATTTAAGGAGGATTGACGTGTCTTTGGGTACACTTATGAGAAAGGTTTCTCCACCATTTAAGGAGGTAGAAATTGACGTGCCTTTGGGTACACTTATGAGTGATTGAGTGAAAGTAGTGTGTAAAAGTGTCACCAGGTGGAATCAGCGCACAGAGTGGAAACCTAACGGTGATAACAAAAACTCTGTGGTCTGTTGAAGTACACTAGTGGTGAATTAGGAATTAGGTTCTGACCGGCACGTTGTCCAGTAGGAACACAAAGCTAGAATAATGGGGTCCAATGGGAGTAAGCCTGCCGCTACAGGGGACATGAGATATATGGAAATATATAGTCATGGCAGCACCAGTTATTGTAGCAAATGGTATAAACTGTACGGCTTCCGAGGAAAGTTGGAGAAAACAGCAGTAAGAGAATTAAGCGACAAATTGAGAGCAGAAACAGCTGGAACAACACAAGGCAAGAAAAGAAAGAAGTTAGAAGCTCAACTGCGAGTCGCAGCTTTATGGGCTGAACAAGCCCATAAAAGGAGCAGGCAGAGGCAGAGGAGGAGGCAGAAACGCAGAAGGCAAATTCCTCTGCTACAGGTGCGGAAAGGAGGGGCACATGGCGAGGGACTGTGAGGAACAGATGTCACAGATAAAAGAAGGGGGACAAAAGGGACAGTACAAAGACGAAAGACATGGCCCCCCCCCTTCACATAACCTACATAGTTATGACAACTGACTAGACGTAGAAAAGGAAGAAGAGGACGTCCACACACATCACATTGACCTTTCTGAAGTATTACTGAATCTGTCAGACAACAGTATTAAACCTACCAGAACAATCGAAATCAATGGGGACAAATTTGAATTTTTATGTGACAGCGGTGCAGACTCATCAGTAGTGAACAAAGAGGTCCAAAGAATGTGGCCACCAACTGGCACTATGTTTGTAAAATCAGCAAATGGACACATAAATCAGAGGTCGATTTCAAAGCCACTTTTTATGGAAGATAGAAGGTCAGGCCTCCAGGCATCCCTCAAATTTGTGTTCATCTCAAACTGCCCTGTCAATTTGCTAGGGAGAGACGGCATGGAAATGTTAAAAATCAGTGTAGTACCAGTCAAAGGGGGAATGCGAGCAGTAGGGCCCGGAGAAAAGGTGGAAGACCAGGTCTTCCTTCAAAAATCCATAAACACCCCCAACTACTACTGGTCACTAGACATGCCACAACCTGACGTGACAAACACAGGTGAACACCTGTTAACACTATTCACCCCACAACATGGCCAAGAAGTAATGAAACCTGACGCATTGCACGTTACACTAAAGTACAAGAACACCCCTGGCCCAGACAAAGACTATGATGTGCTCGTGCATCGACTGACACCACAGAGGGTAGTGTTCCACTCGATGTATGCAAACCAACACGGGGATGTTGTAATTGACGCTAGGGTCCCATCAACCACTGCCTTGATAATGGAACCAGGTTCCACGCCACACATATCAGTAGCTAGGGGCCCAGGGACTTCATGGAGAGACTTAGGTTTATTAGTGGCTAGAGGTAACAGGATAACAAAATGGACAGATGACAAAAACGGTTGGCAAACTGGAGGCGGGTTAAAGCGCAAAACTCTAGGGTTTACTCTAGTGATGACACCACGCGCCCACCTAGACGACCCTGAACAACAATGATGTATGCTAAGTGAAGAGGCCTTAGAGGTCCTGAAAACGGTGCCGCCATGCGTATGGTCACAAGGAAAATGTGATGTAGGTCGCATGGTGAACGCAAAACCTGTACACGTTAGACCAAAAACTAACTACAGACCTAACATAAGACAATACCCCTTAAAAGAGGATGCAAAAGTTGGCATCAAACCTGTAATTGAAGAAATGCTAAAAGCAGGGATCCTGCGTGAGTGCCCTGATGCATCATGCAATACCCCCATCTTCCCAGTAAAAAAGGCTGATGGGCAGTCATGGAGAATGATTCAAGACTTAAGAGCAGTAAATGATGCTGTACAAAGCACAGCCCCAACAGTACCAGATCCACACACGTTAATGAACGGCCTTAAGCCAAATATGGCATGGTTCTCAGTGATAGACTTGAGCAATGCCTTTTTCTCCATTCCTGTAGAAAAAGACTCACAAGGATGGTTTGGGTTCACACATGAAGGAACAAAATACACATACACCAGATTACCTCAGGGGTATGTGGATAGCCCAACAATCTTTTCACGAGAAATAGCAAATTGTTTGGCTACATTACAGATACCTGACACATCGCAGATGTTGGTATATGTAGATGATATTCTTGTTGCGTCACCCACACAGGAAGAAAGCACAAAAGTCACACTACAAGTATTGACACATTTGGCCAAAACAGGAAACAAGGTTTCAAGACAGAAACTTCAGTTTGTGAAAGAGGAAGTGATCTTTTTAGGCCACAATTTAAACCGAGAAGGGAGACGCATACACTCAGAGAGGAAACAGACGGTGTTAAACGCACCAAAGCCAACAACAAAAAAACAAATGATGCAATTCCTTGGGCTGACTAACTATTGCAGAGCATGGATTCCAGACTACGCAGGAATGACTCAGCCCCTACTAGATTGCATATACTCAGACAATGACATGAAAATGTCCGGCAAGATAGAATGGACACAAGAGGCAGAAGCTGCATTTGAAAGGACTAAACAGTGTCTCGTAGGGTCATCAGTGTTAGCATTACCAGACTATGAAAAACCATTTGTACAAACAGTTGACTGCAAAAAAGGGTTTATGACATCAGTATTGGCACAAAAACACGGCACAAAACTAAGGCCTGTCGCTTACTACTCTAAAAGGTTAGACCCAGTAGCACAAGCATTACCAGTATGCGTACAAGCAGTATGTGCGGCAGCAATGGCGGTACATTGTACAGCAGAAATAGTTTTGTTCCACCCACTCACACTGATGGTTCCACACGCAGTCACCATGTTGTTACATGACACCAAAATGGCTTTCTTATCACCTGCACGTTATTTGGCACTGACAGCTACACTAATGTCACAACCACACATTGTGATAAAAAGATGTAATATCTTAAATCCAGCCACATTAATACCTACAGCAGAAGATGGAGAACCACACTGTTGTAAAGAAGAGACTGACAGAACATGCAAACCAAGACCAGATTTGAAAGACATACAACTACTCAGTGGCGAAACATGGTTTGTGGATGGGTCCTGTTCTAAATCTATAACAGGCCAAAATCAAACAGGGTTTGCAGTTGTATCACACTCACAGGTCATAAAAGCAGGCCGACTCCCCCACACATATTCTGCACAAGCAGCGGAATTAGTAGCTCTTACAGAAGCATGCAAAGCGGGGGTTGGAAAAGATGTGACTATGTGGACAGACAGCCAGTATGCGCACTCAACAGTACATATATTTGCAGCCCAATGGGCCCGCAGGGGCATGAAAACATCAACAGGAAAACCAGTCACCCATGCACAGCTGCTGACTGATCTTTTAAAAGCGGTGTTGTTGCCGAAAAGCATTGCTATATGCAAATGCGCTGCGCACACCAGTGGGAAGGATGCAGTAACACTTGGCAATGCACACGCGGATAAGGTAGCGAAGCTAGCAGCTATGGGCGAATATGGGTTCCATATCCTCTTGCAGAAGGGGGAAAGTGTTTCACAACCAATACCTCTTGTGATATTAAGGGATATGCAGAACAACGCACCCGACAGAGAAAAGAAGAAATGGTTGACAGATGGAGCAACCACAGACCCTGAGGGAACATTCAGAATAAACAACAAGATAGTACTCCCTGTTAGTCTCTACAAAACAGCAGCTCATTTGAGTCATGGGCCGTGCCATGTCTCAACAGGAGGGATGGTGACAATAATAAATGAACATTTCCATACATACAACTACATTACATTTTCTAAAAACTTTTGTAGAGCCTGTGTAGTATGTTGCAGACACAATGCTCAAGGCAATGAGCGACCACAGAGAGGAAAGTTCCCTCCACCAACATACCCATTTCAACACATGCATATGGACTTCATCGAACTAACACCATGCCAAGGGTACAAATACTGTTTGGTAATGATATGTCCGTTTTCAAAGTGGGTTGAAATATTCCCAGCAAAACATGCAGACGCTATTACCGTAGCAAAAGCCATATGCAAGACAATAATACCAAACAGAGGTATTCCAGAGAAACTGTACAGTGATAATGGGTCTCATTTTGTAAATCAGGTTATTACCAAACTGTCCGAACATATGGGGATAACATTAAAAAACCATTGTGCATATCATCCACAGAGTGCAGGCTTAGTGGAAAGAACAAACGGAACAGTAAAGTTAAGACTAAGGAAAACAATGGAGGAAACAGGAAGACCATGGGTGGAATGTGTGTCTCTGGTAGAAACATGCATGAGAATCACGCCCACGGCAAAAGGGTTGTCTCCCTTTGAGATCATAACAGGAAGGCAATTCAGATTACCAATCACAGACGAGGTGAGGGAGGAGGATGATGCTGAGGCAGGGACTACATTAGCTGAATGGATGAGCAGACTCTTCAGAAGCAATGAGATAGCTCGAACAAATAACCTGCCAGACATTTCTACTCCCTTGCAGGACACTCGCGTGCAGACTGGTGACCAGGTCCTCGTGAAGGTGATTAAGAGGAAGCATTGGCACTGTCCACGGTGGGACGGTCCCTACACGGTACTGCTGACAACACCGACTGCACTAAAAATCGCCGAAAGAACTACGTGGATACATCAGAGCCACTGCAAAAAGATAATACCTCTCCAACTTAACGATGGATAAGTGGTGGAAGTCCGGCTACAAAGGGCGGTGTTTCATTAGGAAATACTGGTCTCAACCCCGGTGAAGAAAACAACAGAACCACTATCACAAATAGACTATGTTGGGAAAGGTGTTGTTTGTAGTGACCCTGCTGGGTCTGACGCTAATGACTATAAGACAATTGAGTGAGGAATCCTCAACAAAAAAAAAGGTCCATCGAGAGAAAAAATGGTCATTACTCAACGATGACCCATGGAACCACAACGACAAAACTGCACGCTCACCTAGGATGACAAATGCCTGGTATGCCTATGTCCATCAACTTGTTACAAAGACAGGGCGTTCAAATTGTTATGTTTGTTCCCACATGCCATGGTCAACTGGACAAGTAACTCTGTATGGTAAAAGGATGAGTAAATCACAAGCTAAATGTTTTGCTACCATGGGAGGTGTAGGATACCAGCACTCAGGGATAAAAGTCAACGATGTGAATCCATATGCCCCAGGTTTAAGCAATGGCACTTGTAATAAGATATTTTGGGTGAACTTTAACATGACAGTGCCACGTAAAATGACAGGACAAAAGGTAGTCATGCCAAATAATGAAGCTATACACCCTATGTGTTACAGTCAGACAGAAGGTTCTGTACCAATGGGAAACACCACTGGTTGTAACCAGACACTTGTTAATGGCGAAGGGGCTCCAGTCTATTTGAGCAAACAATCTAATGGTACATGGTGGGTACAAGGAGGATGGTGGCTGTGTGGCAACAACGCTTATCCAGTTCTGCCAATAAATTGGACAGGCACGTGCGCACCAATATTTGTTAGCGACCACACCTTCGTGATAGACATAGAACCACACCTTAACCACACCCGCAGGAGGAGAAATGCCATGCCTGCCTTCAAAAAACATGATTCAGTATGGGGAAAAGATGTCCCTGATGAATTCAAACACTGGTCCACCAGTGGAAAGGTAATATTAGCATTGACTCCTGCCTTAGGCGTAGTGAAGAACATGTTGAGACTCGAAACCCTTGATTACCGGTTCGGCATGTTTGTAAATAATTCCATCGTTGTAAACGAACAACAGAACCTCGAACTAGACTCACTCAGAACCATGGTGCTACAGCACCGCATGGCCCTTGATCTACTCACTGCCTCAGTAGGAGGTACGTGTATCCTTTTGAACACAATCTGTTGTACATATATCACCGACAATGTCCACTCCCAAAACATGACAGATGCAATGGCTACTCTCAAAGCCCTACAGACAGCTATGGGCCAAGACAGACATGCCTCTCTTGAGACCGGATGGTTCAATTGGCTACTCTCAGGGAGCTGGGTTCAAAAGCTCGTGATGGGATTTGTTGCAATCATATGTGTTGTCATCCTTGTGTGCTGTGCTATGGCTTGTATTATACCATGTGTTAAAGCTATGGTTGGTAAAATAGTTACCAACACTCTTGTCCAATATACGATGTTGCAACAGACAGATAACGATGACTATACTGACACAGACCCCTCTCAGAAGGACGAATATACTCACCTAACCTCCAATGTGTAAGACTTAAAGCTAGGTTACTGTCTGTCATATGACGAATGGTTCGAAAATGTCAAAAACAAGTGAATTAATTCTGAAAGTAATAAAGACACTGTAACCAGCTAGTAATTATGAAAAACAGGAGGGAATGTTAGAGTTTATTGAAGGATAAACGTGTTTTCATAATATGTTGTCATTTTATGTTGTAAAGAGACCATAGTCAGAAAAGAGGAACAGAGAATAGTCTGTTCCCCTTTTCTGTGGACCATACACACACACACACACATGATTGCGAGTCACAAGACTCCCATTGACAAATAAAGCCGTTGGTTACATACACTTCCTCATGCATGATTTGTAACTGTATTTTTGTAATAAAGAGACTGCACTGAGAGAAGAGGAGCAGAGTTGGTTTTGGAGTTGACATAACCTGTCACTCGCTGATTCTCCTTGCAGCAAGTAAACTTGAAACTCGAGTACTGTTATCTTTGTTCACTGGGTTTTGGTATATTTGAACCGAGCTGGGGTTTACTCTTACAAAGTAATATAGAAATACCCAACAAGCCCCCAAAACTAAATGTTGTCAACATTGGGTAACATTGTTTTCTATCCTGCATACTATAAGTTAGTGCTCATGGAGTGTGTACCTCTTCAAGTCCTTGGTCAATACTAGCATTTTTCTTGGGTCACACATGATCAGATGTTGTTTCTCAATTGTATATAGCTTAAATGTAGTAAGGTGACCTAAACCTTTTTGACCCAAAGATATTCAGGATGATAGCTCGGAGAGGGAATTCTAATGTTTAAAGCAAGGTTATATGTAAGGCGTGTTTCTCACAGGAGAGAAGTAAATTCATCTTCCTGGCAGTTTCAAAGGTCTCTCTGTTATTTCCTTGTGTTCCCTGCATAACAGGAGGGTAATATCACTGTCAAGTTCCGCTGGTTTTTTGCAGACTCCCCACTTGAAAGGGACTCGAGGCATCTACTGGACCTTAATAGCAGGATTCCACTCCGTAGCTTTTCTTTTAGACTTTTTATTTAGTAGATTATGCAGCAGCTTTAATCAGCTTCATTCAGCTTCATTCAGCAGCTTCATTCAGCTTCATTCAGCAGCTTCATTCAGCAGCTTTATTCAGCAGTTTCATTCAGGTGAAAAACCTTTAAACAAGAAAGGTGCATTTTAGTGATCAAAACAAACAAAACATGTAAATAAACCTCACTATCAAATGCTTCTAACAAACAAAATGAACATGAATGAATAACTTTCTCCCCTTTTTAGCAGGACTCTTCAGTGGGTCAAAACAACAGGATTCTAAGTAAATCAAAAATTAAACTTTCCAAATATAAATCCCTCTCTCTCCCACCTATCCCTCCGAAGATAACCAACAGAGCGTCCAAGCACAGAATGCCCCCCACAACCAGCGCACCACACTGAAACCTACTCTCTGAGAAATGCTGCGCAGAGTTTTGACAAGACACGTGACACACACACAAACAATCCAAACAGAACATAACATCAGCGGCTCCGCGGAACTCTTACACAACATTTTGATCTGCTCTTACCGGCTGCCTGTCCTGACTTAGTAGAAAAATGCCTCCCGTCTGCATGCTTCCGTCTCCCTGGATCGCACACAGCAACTATTTAAATACCTTCTTCCTACTGCAGCTGGGGCTCTCTGATTAGGGTGATTGCACCCAGCTTGCTAGAGGAGGCAGGACTGCCTGCGATCGTTTACACCTGTTGACCATCCCTATTAATTGGTGACTTGTTTTCTGACTACTTGTAGTCTGTTTTTACTCTTGTATTTATTAAAGCCTTAGGCTCTGTTTGACTTTACAATCACTCTCCCCTCAGAGTGAATATATCAGACATGAAATAGAATAACTCCCAACAATGCAACATTGCGTGCACTTCAAAGTTATTTGATCAGAGCAACCTTAAGTGAAACATTCTGTAGGCTGAATTGTGATGGCTTTGTAATGCTGGCTATAGGAAACGCAGAGAAAGCAAATGACTGAATGAAAAAAGGCACTTGGCAGGGATGCAATGTCTATTCTGCTGAATTCTCATTCTGCCTGTCCATACTTTATGCCTGTGCATTAATAGTGTGTCCATTAAACTTCTGCATATTTGGCTTTGATACCCTTTGGATGATTTTTTTGCTTGAGTTATCATGGTAATGCTCTTTGACAGAGCTGTAACACAAGGCTGACGGATCAAAAGGCATTTTCTTTTCTTTTCATCTCTCGAGCTCTCAGCCAAGACTTCATTGAGCGGGCGAAAGAGGGAGGGACAGACAGACAGACAGACAGAAGTAGAAAAACAGACAGGGTGGCTGACAGGCAGGTAGTGGAACAGCCCACAGTCATGGATTGTAAATATCTGGGACATTGCTCATCAACTCATTAATTTCTCCCCTCATGCAGGAGGGGAGAAATTAGCTCATACATAAGTATTTTGGATAGTGACTTGCAGATGATTAATTCACTCACATCTATCGGCCGCCTCTGATTGTATGAGTGTTCTTCTCTTGTGAAGTTTCCTTCTCGTCTTTCATCTCGCAACACTGTACTGTGATGGATACAGACTGTAAGTGCCAAGTATGTGTGTGTGTGTGTGTGTATGTATTTGAGGCCCCTGCTGATTATTCCAAGGCACTTATTAATGTATGTACCAGCCATGCTCTAGCTTTCAATGTGCCCCTATTGATATCTGGCAGGTAAATGAGGAAAATAATATATATATATAGGGCCAGGGAGGGCCAGGCCCTCCCATTTGACATTCCTGCCCTCCCCCAATATACACGTTTTTTATTATTTATAACATTTAACATTTTTAATTTTTTTAATTATAAATAAACTGTGAACTTTTATGCTACGATGTATGTGATGTCAGATAGTAACTAAAACAAAAAATTGCAGGCTACGTCAAATAAATTCATGTGTCTGTTGTGATTTGTGATTCGTCCACATTTAGACCAATCACAGCGTCACACTCTGCCGCCTATTCTGGATTTATTTATTGTTTATTGTGCATTCTGTAGACTCCCATTTCTGTTTGTATTACAAAATGGACATCATAAATTGGCTCAAAAGGTCTAAGGATTTATTAAAACGAAATAGCAATGAAAGAACTGCAGCCGATGGTGCTGCTGGCGACCCTCACCTGCCGTTACAGCAGCACGCCTTAATGTCACAAGCTTGACCTCGGCAAACCCCGGAGCTGAGTTAGCGAGCCCAAGCCTTGACTCATCAAGGCGGCCGCCACCAACGCTGTCCTCCGAGGCACAGCTCCTTGTGCCCCTACCATCACCACCTGCGTTGCCACACCCTGTACCACACCCGCCAGCATCCTCCTCCTCCGTGCCGGTGCCTCCACTACAGACGCTACCTTGCAGCACATCAACAGGTACTATTGGGCCAGTAACCGCTCAAAGACCAACAGCCCCAGATGATCTTGGGGTTAATAAACCCAACCAGGTGAAACTGGATCGTTATCCAGGGAGATTGTTTTCAGGAAAGAAGTGCACTTTTGCCGCTGCATGGTACAACAACAGACTATGGCTTGAAGATTCGTTAAAAGCAGACGCAGCCTTTTATTTCCCCTGTAGACAGTTTAAAGTAAATACGTCTTCATCTGATGCGGCTTTTGCGACTGGAAACACGCATTACAGACTGATAAAGGACTGCTAAGGCATGCCGCATCAAAAGAACACATTTCATGTGAGAGTTTGTGGAGACAGATACGCGAGGAAACAAATAAGGAAATGAGTACTTTGGTGCAGATCAGCTGGCACGGAACCGTTATTACGTGTCAGCTGTCGTTGATACTCTAGCTTTTTTAGCTGTCAACCAACTCCCTCTCAGAGGTGACCACGATTCACTCCACAGCATGTCCGAGTGCAGTGCATAGGAAAATGAACCATGCCCAAGGCGGGCTGAACAGTTCATCGTCTCCGTCTCTTTCTTTCCGAGTGCAACGATGAGGAAGCTGCCATCCGTAACCAGTGTGCCTTGCTCTTGGTTTAACAATTTCTGTGCTGCCACGCACACAATGTTTCAAAAGTGGTTTCTATCTTGCCCTTTATTTGTGTATGTATTTACGATAAGTGTGCGTCTTTGCGCAATGCTGTTGGCCTTGCTGTTGGCCTTGCTGTTTGATATATATTGTGCCCGCAGCACGTGACGGTTTTGTGTGCCCTCCCATGAAAATCATATGCCCTCCCTTTAGATTTGTTCTGGCGCCGGGTCTGCAACCATAGCAAACATGTATATCCAGAATATGAATTCCCTCTGTTTATCTTCATGAAAATTGAAAGTTATGATTGTTGTCTGTTAATCGCTAATAGTTTTACTTTTTTTTTGGTTGAATATTGAACAATTTGTACCATTTATGCATAAGCCAAGTGTCCCTTCATTTTAACGAAACTTAGGACCCCAGAAGGAAATGTTATCTTATGTATCCTTTGACTTTTATTTGTCTGTTTTTCAGTGGAACAAAATGTTCTAGTATTCCTCCACAGTTCCTCCTATTGTTAAATTTAGGGTACAACCAATCTGACTGACCTGCAGCTCTGCCCTGCAGTGGCAGCTTCCAGATCTTTACGATCAGGGGACTTAACAATAATAAAAGAGCTTTGCAAGTGGCTTCTGTTTCAGAAGAATGAAACCCCTCACCACCCATTGACCTTCCTGAAAGACCCCATAAGCTTAATCCCCAGGCAAATAATTGAATCTTGACCTGGCTATTATTATCTCCCTCTAACCGCTCCACTCTCCAGGAAGCTGACCTCGTAAAAGCCTTGGGGCCTCCCTCTGGTCCCCCCCACGCTAAAGGACAGACACACACGTGCACAAACACATTCGTTCTGGTAAAAAGGCAGACAGTGCGTTAATTCAGTGTTTACATACAGTACACCAAACTCTTTCACCAGGGAATAGTTCCTAAACATTAGAGAAACAACTTCAGCGGATTACTTTCCCGCTTTTCTCTGTTCTTCCATGGAATTATTGGACATTCTTGTAAAGGTACCGAGCACTGAAACGCCACAGGCGAGGGGAACGGGCCGCTACCCGGAATATTTCTCTCCAACATGCGTGCCATAAGCATTAAACTGGACGAGCTTCAGCTACTGGTAAGTAGAAACAGAGACTTTTCTTCATCTTGTGTTTTGTACTTCACTGAGACCTGGCTGTGTGGATCGTTTCCGGACTTGCAAACGTGCAGGAGGCGCAGCGCACACTCACCGACCATATACTGTGTGTCGATAGATGTCTGGCCGTCGATGAGCGTCCTGTCGCCCTACTCGGATTGTTGTGTCCTGCACTGTCGTGTTTTTTCAGCCGTGCCAACACCTTCCGCCGCCGATTCAACATGTTGAATCGGCCTCTGATTGGCTGTTCAGCTTAGCGAAACACTATTTGTACTTAAGTAAATGTACTTTGTTACCGTCCACAATCTGCCTAAAAGT